AGTCGTGGGGAAGGCAGCCTGGCCGCGGAGCTCCTAGCCCGCCCCCCACACCAGCTGTCTCGACAGGTGAGTCAGGAAGACAAAGGGGCCCCCCCAGCTGCCGCGCCCCCTCCCTCCTCTGGGCCGGCAGGTGGGGGAGTGCGGCCGCTCTTCTGGCTCGGGGCCGGGGAGCCGCCCTCCGCACCAGGCGCTCGCTCCGTCCTAGGCACGGCCTGGGTTGGGCAGATCGTGAGTGCGGAGCGACAAGGGGGAAGAGTCCCAACCAGACCCCGGATCTGTGGGTCTGTCCACAACAACCTCAACTGCTGGGTCCCAGGTGACCCCAAAATGCAAGGGACCAAGAGGTACCCCCGGAGGGAAGGAGCGCGGTCTCATTCGGGGCGAGTCTTCCGACGCACAGAAACGGGGACCCTGCCGATCACGTTCTGTGTCTCAGCGTCTCTTCTGCGTCCCGGGATCGCCCAGACCCCCTCCCCCTCCCACGTCCTCCAGGACCTCGATGTGAGTTTTGGAAAAGTCTAAGTCCTGCTGACATCCCAGCATCCCCGCGGGGAGTATCTGTCAACTTGGACCTCTTCTGAAAAAGTCTTCAAAATTCGAGAGTCCTCAGAGCGCCCCCAAATCCCAGGTCTCTCAGGAAAACCTCACTGGCACCGCCCTGAGCTCTGAGAGTTGCCGGCAGGCGGTCAATCGTTAACACTTCGTCCAAGTGGGTGCAGCCCAAAGCCGAGACCGCATCCAAGCCCGGTCCCCAAATTCCAGCCCGGAGCGAGGGGGGAGGGGGACAAAGGCGGGACGGGGACGAGTCCCCGGGCGGAGAGGACTCACCTCATGGTTGCGCGGCGGGTGGGCGGGCAAGCCCACCCGGCGGTGCTCCCGGGGTGCCCCGGCTCGCAGTTTAGGGGTGCACGGCTGGCTCCGGGTCTGCTCAGTCTCCCCCAGGGTCCCGCCCCATTGAGTCCGGCTTCCTGGGAGAAACGTGGACCGGGCCGGGGCGGGTTCTCCGGCGCCTCTTCCCTCCCGTAGTCTGTTGGGAGGATCCCTACGACAGAAAGGGGGTGCAGCGTCCCCTCCTCGACGCGCCCCCTCGGCCGGCTGCGGCTACAGTGTTACTCTTACTACTGTACTTCTCGCTCCAAAATTCCACTCCCCGCACCCACAATGCTCCGCGCCTTAAAGGGGCCGCGGACACGGACCAGAGGGGGTGGGGTGGGTGGAGCGTGCTTAAATGGGCAACGCGGAACGCTCGACTTCCGCAATTTCCTTCTTTCTTAACGTTATTGCCTAGGTGGGCACCCCGGCCCTCAACCTCAAATTGGGGCCAAGCTTGGTGGAGAAGGGATGCTTCCTGGATCTCTGGTTCTCATTCACTATGGGAATTCTTACGGGGATCTCAATGGGGGCACGGTTTCTCCCGTCCTACTCTCCCCACAGACTTCTCCATTTCTTAATAATCTCATTTAGGAGGAGGGGAAGCCCTCTGGTTAAACAAGGGATTTCTTAAAATTTCTCCCTTAAATTCCACAATTGCACGCCTGTCCCACTCCACCCCCACGACTCGCTTCTCAATTTCTGAGGGGTTAGGAAGGGGTGACCCCCCCCGCACGGGAGGGTGGGCAGCCAGGGCCCCACCCCTTACTGCCCCTCACAGGTCTGCCCACCCGGCTGCCTGGCAAGGTGAGGAGGAAGTGGGCCGAGGGGGCGCGGCCGGCCGCTGACTCACAGCCGTAGGGTCCGGGGTGGGGGTGGTGATGGGCGGGGAAAACAGTGGTGGGGTACTGAGCCTGCAGAGGCTGGGGACGGGACACCAGGTTCTTGTGTGGACAAAACACCTGGCCCCTTCCCCATGCACATCCCGTTATGACTTAGTTTTGCAAACATCCCAGCAGGACGGTCCCAGCCTCAGAGCGGGCGAGAGGCGAGGAGACCCTCCCTGGGGCCGGCTCTCGGGAGCCGCCTACCCCAGGGCCGGCTCCAGGTGGAGCACCTATATCCTTCCAGGCTTCTGCCTCCGACCCGCAGCCCCGCCTAGAATGACGTCACTATGGTGGCCCTCCCTCTTAGGGCGCCTGCTGGCCTAGGTGAGGTGTCTCTATCCTAGGAAATCATCAGTTCCAATTTGTCAAATGAATAAACTGAGGCCTTGGGGGCAGGAAATGAATCTGGCCCAGAATCTGGCCCGTGATTCTCTTGCCTGAGCCCCCAAACCCCCAAAACCAAGGTGTGAGTGTAAAATGTAATTCTTCAGGACGGCTGACCAGGTGAGTCAACCTTCCCATCTTTTGTACAGGCAAGCCCCCACCCTTTACAGGGGACACATCATGTTCTAGGCCACTCGCTGACGTTAATTCTGCTCTAAAGAATGGAGGAACCCTCTCCCTTTCTCCACCCCTCTGGGGGACACCTTGAAGCCTGATCCACCTGGGTTACTGCTTGTGTCTCCTGAGGCTCTGAGCTCTTTGGAGCAAGGGTAGAGCTCCATCCATTCTGGGCCTCACTCAACCGAGCCAAGCCGAGGACAGGAGCTCAACAACATTCACCCAGCCCAGTTCTGTGTGACCCTGGCCAAGTCCTTTCTCCTCTCTTAGCTTTCCCATCTGTGAAATGGGCTGGGTGGTATTTCTGGGTACCACTTGTCCTACGGCAAACTTTCTGTAGAAGTCCACTTAGCAAATACTCTGGGCAAGTCAGATACAGGTCTGTGTCACATATCCTTTTT